GGGGGGGGGGGGAGAGTGGGGGAGAGAGAGAGAGAGAGAGAGAGAGAGAGAGAGAGAGAGAGAGAAAGAAAGAATGTATTTTTCTTTTTTAAACTATAAATTGCGTCAAGTCCAAAAATTAGATTCCTCCTCAACCACACCCGAATTTTTTTAAAACATGAAAGATTTCTTTCCTGTTAAAAAATTAGATTTTAAAACGACGAAGATTGGTGTAAGCACGAGACTCCTACCTCAAAGTTATAACAGAACCATCACAAATATTTTTTCGCGTGTACACAAGAATTAAATCACACGCGTACAAGCTAAAGGGTACACATCCTCAGGTTGGATCAGGTACACATCCTCAGGTTGGATCAGGTACACCTAATGTATCAGGTACGGAAACTGGGACAATACCACGTCGCAGGAAGGAAGCGGTGTATCTTCCTGGCACACCTCAAGATGGCGCGCGACAAGACACGTGCGCTGAGTATTTCGCGGGCTGGTGGTGGCGCAGCCTCAAATGGGATTCAACTTTAAAAAACGAGTGATCTTTATGTAAAAGCAATCCACTGTCTAATATAAAAATACATTTATTGTCCCCCCGTAAAATGTCCCCAATCACCAGATGGGTTAGTTACGCCACCACTGATCGGTTTGTTAGTGTTTTTTTTTTAAAGTGAGAACCAGTGGTTCTCAACTTTCATAATGCCGCGACCCTTTAATACAGTTCCTCTTGTTGTGCTGACTCTCCAGGATACAATTATCTTCGTTTCTACTTCATAAATATGTGTTTACGATGGTCTTAAGCGACCCCTGTGCAAGGGTCATTCGACTCCCAAAGGGGTCACGACACCCCCCCCCCCGCCAAGGTTGAGAATCGCTGTACAATTATCTTCGTTTCTCCCTCATAAATATGTGTTTACGAGGGTCTTAAGCGCCCCCTGTGCAAGGGTCATTCCACCCCCAAAAGGGTCACAACCCCCCCCCCCCCCCGCCAAGGTTGAGAATCGCTGATGGCACGGTCCGGTATAGCTCAAATGATAGTAAATAAAATATGGTTTAACAAAAAGGAATCGGTATGATTCCTACTACTTAAAGTCGTTCCGTCGCCCTTTGATTCATCACAGTGGCAGAATGGTAATCAGATTATCATCCATGTCAAAATTCCGTTAGGATTGGGATTTCATCCATCGATACCCCCCCCCACCCCCTTTCCAAACCATCGTTTCCTTGAGACGGCCGGATGCCACAGAGACATTGGCCCACTGGCTTTCATCAATTTCACCACAGGCTCAACGTCTGTTAGGCTAAACACAGCGCCGTTATGGCATACATTTTCTCTTAATATTATCTGGTATATCTTACAATAATGACATTCAAATCTTACCATTCTCTGGCTTATGAAAAATCAGTAACAAATGACTTGTTTATGCTTTTACTCTAATATTTCACAAAAGGTCAAACATTCATCTGTTTGTTTTGTTCTTACATTCCATCCAACCACCCCTCACCCCCCCCCCCCCATACACAAAATTGTTATCTGAAATCTACTCTAGAACCTTGCCATTAGCATTGATTCAGGGGCCAAAGAGTGGCACTCGTGTCTGTCGACCGCTTCTGTGCTGTCCCTCGTCTCAGGAAAGCCTGTGGAGGAAGTGAGTTTGGTGGCATCCTACAAAAATGACTGAGGCGCCTCAGGCTATGTGCATAGTCAATAGAAATGATTGCCACTACGGATTGGGGTCTTAGGGGCGTCCATAAATACGTCCTGCTTTTTACAACTATTTTTACCCCTCCTTCTTCCCCCGCGTCATAAATCTCAGACGACCCCCACCCCTCAAAAAAAAAAGTCCGACACACTTTCGAACTAAAAAATTGTTACAAAATTAATTAATATTTCATCTAAAATACACTTGACTATTACACTTTAAAAGGGACATCAGCAGATCAGCATATAACGAAATTAGAAAAATCAGCACCATTAGACACCTCCTCTCCTTTGATGCCACAAAAACTCTCGTCTCTTCACTCATTCTTTCAAAATTTGACTACTGTAACACTCTTCTCGCAGGCAT